TGGGGATTGAGAAGACTGGAACTTGGGGAATAGGACGATTGCGTTGGTGAAAGGTATGGCAAAATAACTGAGATATGAAGGTAATCTAAGCAGAGAGAGCTGGGAAGGAATATGGATGGCTTTGGTATGGGAAGAAGGTATTTTGGAGTGGTGGAGACCTTTGGAAATGACAACATGGAACAAGATATTAGTAACTGAAAGAGTCTGGAGGAGTTTTTAGGTGGAAAGACTCAGGAATTTGAGACCTTGGACGGCGGGGACTGAGGGCAGTAGGCTGTGAGGGGGAGGTTAGGGTTACCAATCTGCTCCCTGCCAAATATTTTTTATATGGGCCTTGATGTTACAGGAGGCACATACGTGTACACAAAACTGTCCCCCTGTCACCCTGCAAAGAACATCCCTTCCCTTATCCTCTGTTCGCAGCAATTACAATAACCCTTTTTGGACTAAATAACATAGAGAATAACCCTAGAGTCATAAGTAACATGAATTCAGAGTGATTCTGGAGAATTATTGTGCCAAATGAACATTTTCTATATGACTATTGATTCGAGAGACTGAAACTTAATGTTTCTGAACTTGTTTCTCACAGTAATTGTACCCAATAAATCTAAGTTTAAAAACTGACACTCTTCCACACAATGACATGCATCACTTTCATCTTAGCTGTTTCCTAAATATCTCTGCTCTGTAGGAAATTGGTCCTAAATCCTTGTGTCAGATCCCACATCCTTCAGTAAATGTCCAGATAATCCTACTCTCTATATGCTATGAGCACTGATTTTGGGTAAGTTCCTGTCAGCACACATAAGTGCTCTTTAGCTTTAGTCTGCTTTTCTTTTTGGATTGAGCTCACTTGAAATTCAGTCCATAATGCATGGTTATTTACAAACCACTTGAAACAGAATTCACAGCACATATTTGTGTTGGCTGATAATCCTTGTCAATGATGGATGAAGATCAGGTGTCATTTCTGATTCTTTTAGACATGTCAGCTGCCTCCAGTACCATTGACGATGAACTGACCTGCACTCTGGAAGCAAAGACAAATAGGATGAATTGTGGAACTCAGAGTTATGTGTAGCTTTGAGCCCTGAAGGAGGTTGGCAGTGGTCTACATTAGGGTTCTCATCTATGAAAATAAAAGCAAACAAACAAACAAACTACAGCTGATTCATCAGTTTCCAGCATTTTTGTTAATATGTTTACCTATTAATATTTTGATAATGTAGCTTTAGCATTTATTGAGATCTCTGCTTGTTTGTCTCATGAAATGAAAAAAGTTGTAAGCTTTGACAAAACGTGTTTTATAAATATTATATCCCAAAGTCTTTTGATTTTAACTCATCCTTGCTCCAGCTGTCTCAAAAATAGATGAAAAAGCCGTACTCAGTGAAGAATGCTCAGAAATGTAAAAAACAAAGTAACAACAGCAAGAAACACACAATCTCCTCCCCCAAAAACAAACAAAACCAAAAATACAGCACACCCAAACAAAGACAGTCTAAAAATAATCTAGTCTCTTTTGGACCTGGGCATATGGGACAGGTTTTATAACCAATGATAGGGGTAATTCTTCTTGATAGTTCCTCTTGTTGATGTTGATTTCATCACAAGCATCTTTTCTGTTCTCAGCTGTGAGATGTTGCAGCGTATGGGTGTTCTCCATTCAGTTGGAATTTAGGTTGTACACCACTCCAGGCGTACAACTGTTTCATACTATATATTCCTACCGAAATGATAGGGGAGGAAAGAAGCGAAAACATGTACTGCCCTCATTTCTCTCTGTGTTGAGCAGCAGAGACATTATTACATGTTGCCCATAGGCTGAAGAACCAAAACAGTTTGAAATCCACCTGGAAACATTCACCAGACACTGGGTTTGAGCACTGTCTGTGTGTATGGCTCTTCTCAGGAAGTCTACATGAACCATCAGACTGGGCCACTAGATGATCCCAGGATCTAGGGACATGCAGAGAACTTAGCATCCCAAGGTAAAAAAGACATGTCTAGAAATGATAGCATAGTCTGAAAGGAAATAACTGCTTGATGTAGTTCCTATGGAAAAGCATGTTATGCCATGTCAGCTCAACCATGGGAGGAGTCCATGTTTACATTACTAGCCAGGTGCAAATATAAGATAAATAGATATAAACTTTTCTACCTTTTATTCACTGGCCTCCCAGATACAATTAGTCAGAGAGGTAGGTAATTAGGTGGAGAGATAATTTAATGATTAACAGCAAATACTGATCTGTGCAATACAGGAATCTTAGGTAAACACTATGAGGACAGAAATTTTTGCCTTTACAAAGGGATACAGCAGAGGAATTTTCTTTTTCTTTTACAGCTCAGTTACATGTCAGCAAAGGAGAAAAGCCTTTATTACTTAGGTCTATGGTTACACATGGCATATGAAAACCTATGCTATTAAGACAGAGTTAAATCTGTGACTTATACAAAGAGAAATAAGCCATTCCCTCCTGACTTGCATACATCATATTAATATCCCTTGTCCTTTGCTGGAGATGGGAAAAGAACAATTAATAAGGTGGTTGATTACACAATCCTGACATTTGTCCACTTGCTTTTGCTTTTTTTGGATCCTCTTTAGCCAAAGAAAGCCATGAGTGTCAGGAAGCAGACGGGTTTCCCTGAGGGACCTGAGCTACTGCTGTGCCACAGCCAACAGCTTCAGCCACTTGGATAAAGCTCTGTGTTGTGTCTTCCAGAAACTGTTCCCAGGGCTTCATAATATTTGATGATTAGACCAGGGTTGTTTACTGTAGGGTGGCAGCTACACTCAGTACAAATTTCTTGCTTTATTATACATCAGCTTGAATCTGTTTGTGCAACACTTTACACATAGTGATAAAGTCAGTAAAGCATTGGTTATGGTGTAGTGCTATTTACTAAACTATAACTGTCTCTGCTTTGAAATTTCCAGTGTACTGAGGATAGATGGATTTCAACTGCCTTGCATTTTTAAAAGAAATAAAATTACTGTGTGCAATCAATTATAGTGAGAGTAGACTATTATCTGGTCTCAAATCCATCCTGTAATCTCATAGTACTCCACCCCACCCTTTGTTCACCACCATCCCCAAACTTCTCTATCACCTGTTAGTCAGCACCTCTATGTTTTTCCTCTAAGACATCTACTCAAGGCACCAGAGGCAGGTGCAAGAGACAGATGCAGCTGCTCATGATTGTTTTAACATCATTGCCATGTTTCCCATTTGTAAAGTATTTCCAAAATTTATTTTTCTTGCCAAAATGAAGACAACAAAAAGACCAAATGTGCTTGTGTTCTCATAAACTAGTACCTAACTACTTTTATTCCTAACTTTTTCTTACATTTTTCATCGTAAGGCTTTAGTTGACTGGGTTCCTTTGGTTCAGTTTTGTTTTCCTTTGTTCCAGCCTTTGTGGTTGGAGACAGCAGGGATTGAGTTTCATTTACATAGACAAGTTATACAAGGATCATTACCACAGCAACTAAAATACTAATTTATAAGAGAAAACATAGCCCCCCCTTCTATTCAGACAAGATTTACAGCTAGTCATACATACATATCCTTTTGATTTCCAAATGAAGTGCTGTCACCTTGACTGCTGCAAATTCAACCAACTGTTTTATGTCACTTTAAGGGTTGGCTTTTCAATTTCAGAGCTTCCTGTTCTCATCTTCCATTGCCCTGAGCCAAAGAACTGCCCTAGAAGTGAATTCATTAAATTTAATATTTGCTTAAAACCCCTTAATATGACAGGATCAGTATAGCTGTCACTTTGATTTTCTTCTCTGGGTAATAATCAGGTAGTACTATTTCCCTGAGAAAGGAGTTTTCCAACAAAGGTATAAGGATGTTGTTCTGGGAAGAGCTTTTATCATCACTGTCAATTTTTCATATCTGCTATATGGTATTACCTGTTACTACACAGCTAATTTAAAAGAAATCCCCTACAAAACAAGCACAGGCCTAGGAAAACAGATTGAATCTCTGCTGAGGCTGAGATTTTCTGTCATGTGGTTCAGTCCACACAGTCTGTATTTTACCTCATGAGCTACAAAAGAGTGTTAATACTCCCCTCCTTTATAGCCCATTTTCAGGCTCTGAAATGTTCAAATACCCTTCCCTAGTGTAACTGTGACAAGGGTAAGTGTGACACCTGTACTCATGCTGGGAGCTTGTGTGGATATCCCTATCACAGCAGGAAAACTAAGCCACGTTGTGTCTTGATTAAGCTGTGCACAAATGCAGGAGGTCTTGGATTGTGGGCAGTGAGCAGACTGGCACAGCATTAACAGTAATATGTCCCGAAGCTTGAACATCCCTGAGGAACTTAAAAACATCAATAAATGCCAAACAAGGTCTCAAATAAAGACTACATTCTGACCTCACTTACACACATAACAATTTTTTCTATCCCTTAAAGACAAAGTTTCAGAGACCTTGCATTAAAGATTAGAAATTAGAAAAAAAGAGCTCACCAGAACTAACATCCCAACTCCAAAACTTTCTTCTGGGTTGAGGCACTTCCCAGTAAAATAGTAGGAAGAAAGATTATGAAAGCAAACTTTCTATAAAGGTTGGAAAAAAAAATGCCTCGCTATAAATGAGTTACACATACTGCATTTACAATATAAGCAGGACTAAGCTCATAGCAAAAACATGTTATAAGCCCAAATTATTTGTGAGACTACACCAGCTGAAAGCATGCAGGATTACTAGAAACAGACTGGAAGGGCTTGGGGGTCAAGAGGCCCTGCCCTTGAACTCACAGTGAACTGCATTTTCTACATCTATGGGAAAAAGAGATTGTGCCACCCACTACCTTCCTTTACTGGCATAAGAACACCTGGTCCAGCTTGAGTAATGAAAGGCTTTACTGTATGTGTATCCCATGTAAGTATAGACCCGAGCTTCACCAAGGCCAGACTGACCTCATGTGCAGGATAGTGACCATAGGCTTACAAATGTGAAGTGAGAGCAACGTACCTACAGACCTTCAGTGCAAATGGGTCTGGGTGCTGTGTCAGCCTGGCTTCAGTCACACTGCCCACCTGCCTTTGTGCTGGTGCCATGTAATGATGGAGAGCTGATTCCTGGAACAAGAGCGCTGGGTCTCCTATCATTTGGACAATGAACTTTACTGATCCTTGTGTAACACAGCCTATCTATAATCTGAGCCATAGGTATTTCACAGGCAAACTGGAGAGTGCACTGACTAGTTGATGACCAGGGTACTCAAAGCGAATTTCTGGTATGAGAATTGTAAGACGGATTGATAAACCTGGGTGAACATTTTCTGTGGACCAAGTACATAACCTTCGAAAACAGTCTAGTTCTGTCTTCAGAACACGTGAACATAGAGAACTTCTTTTTGAAAGTAAAACTATTTAAAAGAAGCTAAGAGAGATTTTTTTCACTTTGTAGCTCTTTGAACATTTAAAATCCCTGCTGGGGCTTTCCATGCAACAGAAATCTTATAACTGAATCTAGCAACAGCAATACAGTACCTAATAAATTCAGTTAAAGATATGCTTTGGTTTCATTAGTACAGACAACTGTAGGAAGAAAAGAGATTAGTTTATTGTCAAGGCTAACAGTATAATTATATACTATACAAAGTATTTGTTTGTTTGTTTATTAGTTGATAACTAGCACATCTCTGATCCTCTGCTTGCTGATAAATTAGACCACGGTCATGTGAATTCACTTTTAAAACATTGCACATTAGTTAAAGTACCTCCTAATGACTGGCAACATGAGATTTCCAAGAACAGATCAGATGAGTGTCTATGTTAATTTACCATCCTCGGTCCACCTGGAATAGGCCAGTAGCTGATTAAACACACACCGAGGACTAATCAATAAAGAGCCACAACTTTGATCTAGTTGGTGCTGTTTCTGATTACATAAAGTAATGCTCATAATGAAACATGGTTTGCCTACCTTTCAGTGTAAAATCCTGTGTTTCAAATGGTTGCTTATTTAAAACATTATGAAATAGCAACAAGAAGTTGCTCTTGTTTACTTGCTTCAAACACTGCAATAGTAGCTTGGTCATGCTCTTCTTAACTGGTTTAAGCTTCTGTTTAGAGATTTTTACACGTGACCCTGAAGTCATGCTTTGATCTTTCTGTCAATAACAAATGGCACAATTTCATAAAGATACAGTTAACTTCTATTTTGTAATGTCAGATATGGCAAATTTGTGTCCCAATGTCACAAGATATAATTGCTGAATACTCTAGGGACTGAGTCCTGGCTTCAGCTTACATAACAGGGAGCAAAACAAGACCAACACTATGCATCTGTGTGCTGTTAGTCTGCATTGACCATGTATGTGTACTTTACTTTCTTGCAGTACAGTCAATCACACCTGCTCACTAGCTCTGAACACCCTCTGATTTCAGCTGTCTAAACTTATTTTAAAATTGCAACTGACTGGTCCCACATTGCAATGTAACTGCAAGTACTTCCTCACTGACAAGCATTTCAGCTACCTTCATAGTTTTTTTGTAAATACCAGTTGAAACAAATGAATCTTTTACTGGCTTTATGTTATCTTCTGTAAAGGATGCCAAGGTTTCTCATAGTCTCTTGGACTATGACTTCTGTAAAGAGCTGAAATATCATTGAATTTGAGGATAGAAGTGGAAATTCACCCTTCCTTTCCAGGATTAAGTTTACTTTGTGTTGTCAGATTTATACCCTTGATAATCCTTTCCTTCTGGCATTTCTGCACTTTGGGATGGACCAAACTGTTCTCTAGTAAGAATAAAAATGATAAAGCCACTTTTGATGCTTTTCCATACTTTACATCTCGTTCTCCTTTCTAAACATGCTCTCTACAGATGGCTTTAGCTATATGAAACATGGCTTTACCAAGCCTTCTTGCACCCTCCAGAGCTATTGTTTGGCTTACCTAAGCCAGAGTCCTGGCTGGAGCATACCATAACTCCTTGTTTGCCCGTTTGGAACCTGTAGGAACAGGAGGGAGAAGGGGAGGTGGTGGTGTTGATTCTAGTTCCTGCTTTAACTACTAACAATATATATTTCTATTTCTCTTTGACTCTCACTTGTAAAGTGGTGCAAAAGGTGTTCTTGTGAAACTTGAGTGAAAGTGTTTTCCCCTCCATCTCTCTCAGCTGGTACATAACCTAACTGCAGTAAGAAGGATATGCAACAGTTTATCAAAGAGAGGCAAATTGTGCTTACTTTTACTACAGGCATACTCTGCTTTCAGTGCTCCTGTAAGGTGTAATGCAAGCCACAAAATATAAACAAGATAAAAACACAGGGTCATGGTATGCTATGGGGAGGGTAGAGAAGCAGAAGTAAGATCCTTAGGATCATCACTCAGCTGGAAGAGAAGCTGACTTCTCATCAGCTGAGTTGCTGGCAGCTGAAAATGATGATTAAAATGCTAATTTGCATTTCAAAACACAGTTCGAGATATGATGTATAGTGGCCTGAGATTTTGATTGGTGCCTCACTACATGGTGAGACTGAATCTTGCAGTTGCCTGATGGCTCTTTCAGTCCTTGGAGCAGGCCACCATTCTGGGAACGTTCATCAATTCATAAAAGATTGAATGTTTGACACTAATTTTTAGTGCATGTTTTCTTGACTTCTCTTTCTGACTTGTTATATTTTCATCCTAGTCGTTATCATCATCAGTTATCTTCTAATCCAGGCCAATTAAATTAATCAAGGGTGAAGGACAGAAAAGTGGGATAATGACAACTGTTAGCATGCTTTATGACAAAACTCCCAAATGACGGGTAGGATAGCAACAGAATTTTAGTACACAAAAACATAGTAACTGTGTTTTACACTATAAAAACAGGGTGTTACTGTGTTATATCAGAACTTGGGCAACTGTTTGTCCTCAGACCAAAACACTTCTGGGCATCCACAGAAATAACTTCTGGGCATAGGTCCATGGGAACTTTGTGTTCTGATTTGAATGCCATAATTGATTTATTATTATTATTTTATATATTTTTTTTCCCCCTGGGGTTGTCTGGTACTTATGAATAAGACTTACAAAAATGAATCATTGTCCATCAGTCAAAATGGAATTAGGATCTCAGGCAGGAGGGAACATTACACCTACCTCTTAACTAATTAGTAAATTAACAGACTTCTTGGGTACCCCTTCAGTTTTCCTCCTAGCATTTACATTGGCAGGATCTAGTTCTTTCATAGGAGCTGTGGTCAACAAAGAAAGATAAAAATGACATGCATATTTGTATAGAACTGGTCATATTGAATCAAAATGCTTTACAAAGGTAGATATAATAACAACAGCCCAGGTTGTCATGGATTTATATTGAAAAATAGTTAAACACTGAAATCAGACAAAAAATCTCCAAGTCACTGGGATGAGTTCAGTAATGTAAAAAGTGCATTCTTCAGTTAGAGCTTTTAGAATGAATGACAGTCAATACGTTGGGCCATAGGTATTTGCACTACTCAAAAGATCAAAATAAACAGCACATTGATAACAGCAAATTTCCTAAATGTCAAATAACACATTGCTTTTTTAAAGATTTTTCATCAAAATCTTTACTTTGCATTTTTACAATTACAAAAACTTCTCTTTACATTCTTATTTTCTGTAGTCTTTTTCATTAAATTTTACATACTTTTCAATTTGCCTGTCACTCACTCTTCTGTTGTTGACACTTGTGTTTATCCCCAAATTAATACAACAGGTGCTACATGTGAAGATGGGGCACATTTTTATTATCATTAAATTATGTATTTCTTTTAAATTCTATCTTAACAGAAATATCTGGGGAAACAAAACCTCCATCAAATAGAGAAAAGTAATCTGTAATCTGTAATACGTATGTACCCATAATTGACACCACAGTTAGCTCCTTGTAGCTGAAAATATTCTCCATGATGAACAATGATATGCTTGTTTATAAGTCACAGCTTGAAGAATATTATTGAATTTGGAAGCAAAAAGGAAGATAACACAAGGGAAGGTGTTAATGGCTTTTAACATTGTTAATTGGCTGTTTCAAACAGTTTAACTATCTTAACTATCTTGAAATTTTTATTTATCTATCTATTTATTTATTTTCACTTCCATGGTGAATTTTGGTTATATCATGCTGACCAGTCACATGCTCTTATAGCCTAGCACTTCAGTTATGATAAAAATCTGAGCCCTTTTATGTTCAAAAATACTTGTTGATACATGTTGATCAACATGTATTCATCAACAGGTGTCAACATGTTTAAATACTTGTTGATTTCACAGCTACATTGAGAAGTTTTCTTCCAGCCTGCCTATATTCCTTGTATTTAATACGTTCTACTGTTTGCCTGTGAACAGGCCTTCAAGTATAAAAGAGTTTAAAAGTCATCTAAAAATTACCTTCATTTATTGCTTGAGTAATAAGGGAATCAGACGACGTGTACTCTCCTACATGAGCTGTTTCCTGGGTACCCATTATTTTTGGTGGTTAGAAAATGAACATTTCAAAGAGTGATTTTGAAGACATTTATTCCTGTTAGGATTCGTAGCAAAGTCAAAGCACTCTCAATTAAAGATATATCAAATTTGCCAACAGGTTTAAGGGATCAGTATTGAATTCTACATGAAGTTCTAGTTCTGCTAAGTCAACAGAAAACTCCCACTGATCTCAGTGAGGCCATAACTGATTTCATCACTTATCTCTAATTATTATTAATACTAAATTTCAGACAGTCTCACTAAAATAACCTGATGTTATATTACATGGAAGGTTTTTCTTGGCACACATAATAAATACAGGGAGTAGAAAGGCAAAAGAAAAAGTAGAAGAAAGGTAGAAATAATATGAAAGTGAAATGGGAGAGGAGCTGAGATTGCAAACATTAGGAAGATTTAATTTTAAAAAACAAAGATTAATAGTGGTCCTTTTATTACTCCTTCCACCAATAGAGATATTAGTGATCTCCAGTGACAAAAATCAAAGAACCCATTTTCTATCCTTATATTCTTTTCCACAATAAAGTTTAATTTTCCAAAGGAAATATAAAAGGAATCAAAGTTTATTTATATAACAATTTATAAGACCTTCATTCACCAGCAGCAATTTCTTATTCTGCTCCTAGATACATT